CTTTAAAAAATCTGTTCATGATATAGTAGATATCGATATTGTCTGAATAAAATATGAGTTTATTTGTTATTTGTAAGCATTGGGAAGCAATATGAGAGAAATTTACCTATTTTGGAGACAGGAGAACAATTCTAATCGGTCTTTTTCTATAATGAACACTTTATAGATAAATACTATCACATTCCCAACATTTAGAATGGACATTTAAACTATCGGAAAATATAATATTTCAAATAAAAACCTCTAGATTTCCAATATTTCCATTTATTTTAAGAGCATCTCCTACTCGTTTATTTGGAACGTTTTGTTTAAATTCATATTTTTTGCTCGGTGTAGGAATATTCTCAACACTTCCAGTAACATGAACTTTTATAGCCTTTGCTTTTATCATGCTATATCTCTTCATGTTAGTATTTGCATTTATGTTACGCCCTGTTATTTTTATCTTGTTGCCATTTTTCTCAATTCTAACGCCATTAATGTTTGTCACCCCTTCAGTATAACGAACATCATCTCCATTGTAAAATATCTTTGTTTTTAACAAATATTCAGTTATTTTTATGTTATTTCCATTAATTATTGCCATTCCTATATCACCATTGATGTTTAAATATCTAACAAACTCAGGATAATGTTGAGGGCTTTCAACAAGAATTCCTTCTTTGAATATTGATAATTTAACAGAACTAAAATCTCGAATCCAATCAGCATCTTAATTAAATATTATTTGTATAGATCCTATAGTTTTTCTTAACATAACTCAAGTGTCGATCCGAAGGCCCATAGCAAAACCCTTCTAATATTAAATCTTTATATCTAGATGTGAGGCCGAAGGCACGAAACTAGAAAAAAACTAGACGTTTTGGGTCAGTCATCAAAACCCCCTAAAGCCGATGGTCTTAATAACGTCCTAAAGAAGTTTAAAAATTTATTTGGAGTTTTGCTTACATTTGTTATTCTTTCCAACTGAGAATTTTGTGTGAAAGGAAGATCCTGATTTAGCAAATGGGAATCCTTCTCCAAATTCGAATTCTGATTCTGAGTTATAAGAGGCTTCTGAGTCAGACGTATCTGATCCTCCAAATGAGGATTCCATGTTAATTTGGTCTCCTGAGACAAATTCACCATTTCCTTTGCCAAAGAAAGTGTTGCCTATGTTATGAATAGTTCCTCCTCTAAAATGATGTGATCCTCCACCAAAAGATTGAGTCCTTCCTTGAGTCTCTGCTTCATTTTGAGATCCAGCTTTTGATGATCCACCAAATGGGAATCCTCGGTTAAATATGCCCCCAGAGACAAATCCACCTAGTCCATTTCCATGAAATATTCCTGTATTATGAATTGTTCCTCCTCTAAAATGACTCGATCCTCCACCAAAAGATTCCGTCTTTCTTTTGGACTTCTTATCTTTATGGTATGCAGTTTTTGAACTTTCCCCTTCCGTAGATTTTCCTTTCTTCTTAGCAAGTTCTCTATCATATTCTTCTCTTTTTGTTTTATCGCTAAGAATCGAATGAGCTTCTGACAATTTTTCTAAATTATCTAAAAAAGCCTTATCGCTCTGTTTGGCATTTCGATTTTTCTCTTTCCTTTCATTAAATGCAGCTTCAATCTCACCAGGAGAAGCATTTTTATCAACCATTAAAGTTTTATAGTGGGTTGCTTCAATTTTCAAAATAAAATTGATCGAAAAGAGTAAAAGAAACAAATAGATGGATGCCATCTTTTGGAATTTTTTATTATACTTAGAAATTTATCTTAAATAAAAATTTAGAAGTATTGATATTATCGATAAAAAATAATTTTTATTTACAAAAAGTCTGATCATGGGTCAGATTAATTGAAAATTTTAGGCTATTTTCAATGGATTATATTAATTTTCGAAATACGGAGTTGAAAGATATATCTACTTCTAATTACTTACTGACAAACTCAATTAAAAACCAAACAAATAGCCTATATTTTGGCTGTTTTGAAACAAGGATTTTTGAGGTAAAATTCTTAATTGATTTTCGATTTTAAAAATTGTGAAAATTGTTGTTGTCAATTATTCCAGTTTACTCTTAGGAAAAAGAGAGATCTAGCTAACCTCTCTTCTTGGAAGAGAGATAAATGAAGAGAGATCCAGGAAGAGAGATCCAAAAGAGATATTCAGGAAGAGATTTAATTACCTAACAAAGAGGAGCGATCCAGCTGGTTTAAAATTTATTAAAGAAAATGTAGACTGATATTTTGGCAAATTATTATTCACTTAAATAGTCAATAAATTATTATGTAATAATTTCTTAATTATTATATATTTGCCCTTTTTATTTATTTCTCATAATTTTTTCTCTCGATTCTTTCTCAAGATTTGCCCTTTTTCACTATTTCCTTAATATCAAAATTTAATCTGATCTTTAAACCAAGAAATTTTTAATTACATAATTTATTTTCGCACTTTATAAGTTTTTAAAAACTTTCCATTAGATTTTAATTTATTGTCGATTTTCTCTTAATGTGCCTCCAATTCTTTCGAACAACCGTCTCCAATAGTGCACACCTATGATATTAAATCGCTTGACCTCAGTCTGCAATAGAGCGGCCCTCGACAGATAATATAGTTTATTTTCTTAAATATCAGTGTTCTTAAATATAACAGCATTATTACATTTGTTCCATGTAGTGTCTCCACTGTTTAACTCTTACTATGTTTTAAAGTGTTATTTATGTCGAAATTCATGTTAAAATATAATGATATAATTGTTATTATAAGAAAATGAACTTATATTCGTCCTTATAGAAGAAAAATGAATATCAAATCATATTATCTCTTTCCTAAAAATTTATTTGGCCGGATCCGGAAAAATGAAAATGTTAACTTAACTAGGTGACTTAACCTCTTTTAATTCCCACAATATCTCTTTTAATCCCTCATAGCTAATAATATTATAGAATTTTTACATAATAAGGATTTTCTGATAAAAATCAATTTAGTTTCCTCAAATCAAGTCCGACTACTACACAACTTCTAACAATGTTAGACGATTTTTACAATGCATTAGGTAACAACAAGAATATAGATGTAATTTATATCAACTTAAAAAAGCTTTTGACACAGTTCCAATAAATTTATTACTTACAAAAGTTAAAAATGCTGGTATATCTGGAAAAATGTTTGAATTTATAAAGCATTTTGTAACAGGACGATCATACTTATAAAAATAAATGACTCTTTTTCAAAATCTTATTGTACATATTCAGGTGTTCCCAGGGCAGTGTTTTGGTACCTATTTTATTCACAATCTTTATTAATGATTTAAGAATAAAAATTCACAGGTCGTGTTTTAGAAAATTTCTCGGGTCAGATTTCGGGTATCGGGTCAAAAAAGGCCGGATTTCGGGTTTTGGGTAACCCGTGATATCACTGATATAAAGAGTGAAATTAGAAAAAAATAATGTTGTTAAAAAATTTTCCTAAAAGTTTCTTCAAAAAATTAATTTTTTAATAAAACGTTTAAAATTTCCCATATTTGGAAAAATACATCTATCATTTATTTTACCATGCTAATATAGATTTTTCCGCATAAATTTTATCATCAGTTTTTTAAGAGTTAAACTTTATTTTTGTTAGTAAATATAGAAGCTTATTAATATTAAATTTTGAAATCAAAAAAATTTGTGGTGTTTATAACTGCTTTATATCTCATATTAAATATCTCGTATACACGGCATTGGAAATTTTTGAAGCATTATGTATTATACTTTTTGAAGTATTTATTTTTTGGCGACGTTTTGTTCAACTATGCAAGGAAAGAATTAAAGAAATCACACTAAATCACATTTTCTCATTTTTAATTCGGTCTTTTGTAGAATTAGTATTAATAGCGATCGGTAAATGTCCAGTTGGCGGTCTACATGTCCGCAAAGAGAATCTGCTCTTTTCTTTCCTTTTCTTGCATTTTTTGCGTTGGGAGAAGTGCTCCGCTCATTTTCCCTTTTCTGCCATTTTTCCTTCCCAATACAATATGTTCTCCTGTTCATACTTGCAAAATAAAAATACCTCTAATTAGAAACAAAATTTATTTTACAAATGATAATTTTGGATAACATTCTCAAATGATTTATTAAAATATAGGGTTGATAATAAAAACTATGAGGGGGAGGATGGCTATAAAAACTGGGCCAATATCTTTACTCAATATCGATATCCTGGTAACACGAAAATCTACGTAAAATTGTTTAGCTAGTTAAATAATTAACATTCCCAATAATACATTCACAGATTTCACATAACTTTTAAGCTTTCACAATAACAAACTTCATCTTTGATTAAATTGAAAAAAAATAAATTTGAGAAATATTCAATAAAAAGTGCATTTTTATCCATTTTGTTTATCTTTTCTTAATTTGTAACTGATTTGTGTTTATATCTAATTTGTGTTTGAGGGGATTTTTTTTGAATTTCTTCATATCTGTCGGATAAACCATGCTATCCGACATTCGGGGATCAGACTTTTGGGGCCCGCATTTGGGGACGACTTTTCGGGATATCATTCGCAAATCCCTCAACATTCTATATAAATTTTGATTAAAAATCGGCCTGAATCTCGATCCAGATCTTGATTATTTTTGGATCTTTATTCTTGGAAATTTTGAAAATTTTGGAAGATCCTTATGCCAAAAATCTTTCATATTTCAGCGCAAAAAATTTTTTTTCACCTTAGAGAAATTTTAAATAAAAAGTACATTTTTATCCATTTTGTTTATCTTTTCTTAATTTATAACTAATTTGTGTCTATAACTAATTTGTGTTTGTGGGGATTTCTTTGAATTTCTTCATTTACATTTAACGGATATAAGTGCATCTCTTTGCCCAAGCTTGAATATAAAATGCCGCAAAATGAATATTTACACCAAAATCTGTTTATTTAACAAAAATTTTACAAATTATTATTTATAAATGCTTCTGACACAGCAAAAATCAAATAATTTTTTTGTCCAATAATAATTTTTTTTTAATGATAGCTTTTTCTAATTTACAGATGCATTATTCTATTATTATTTGCATCTTCATTTTGATTTTACTGGTAATTGTTGAGCCCACAGATGACTACTACAAAACTTTAAAAGTTCCACTAAATGCATCAACCGAGCAGATTAAGAAAGCCTACAGAGATTTAATGCAGAAATATCATCCGGACAAAAATAAAAATGATCCGAAAGCAAAGGAAATCACACAAAAAATAATTGAGGCTTATGGCGTTCTTAGTGATGAGGAAAAACGGCGAAATTTTGACAATGAATTCCGCCCAACTTGTGGATCATCATATACAACGTCGAGTGGATCATCTACAACATCTGGTGGATCATCTACAACGCCTGGCGGATCATCTACAACGCCTGGCGGAACAAATTATACAGCGTCAGGTGGATCATCTACTACGTCTGGAGGATCATCTACTTCATCAGCTGGAACTTCGTCATCTGGAACCTCGTCACATGGATATACAAATTTTGGTATTCTTTTATATTTTTTGCTTTATTGTCAACAGATTAAATTAATTCAAAAAATCTCAGTTAATGTCCCCCATATTTTTATTTTTTTAAATGGCACGTAATTACTAGATAAACAGATAATTGATAGTAGAGTACATACCGTTTATTTCTCATCATAATAGTCAGCAGCTGGCAATCAAAGAAATATTTTTATACTATCTGACGGAATAACAACATTCAAGGATTGTTTTTTTAATCGGATATAGTAATATCTAATTTAGGATAATAGTGTATTAGGATAATTTGGGATATTCTAGTGAAGGATAAGAAAGTTTAGGATAATATAGTGTATATGTATGATTTAACTGGTAGATCCTAATATAAAAATTTAATTTAAAAATTAAGGAACGTCGTCAAACGAAAATTTTAATTTTAATGCTGGATCTGGATATTTTCGAAATTTTGAAAATTTTTTTGGAGGATCTAGAACATTCACGTCTTCATCATTTACGTATTCAACGTCTTATGGAGGTTCGACAGGAAATTTTTCAGGAGGGCCATCAATGAATTCGGCATTTAACGATTTGAGAGTTATTGTTTTTGCTGACAAAATTCTTGTCCAGAACATGAATGGAGTTTACGAAGCTTCTCATTTAAATATTAATGGGGCTACAAATGAAATAAAAATGTATGGGAATAATATTCATATTAAACATTTCAACAGTGGTTTTCATGAAATTAAAGCAAAATCGGTTAAAATTAATGTTAATGGGAATACTGTTGTTACTTCAACAAAAACAGCATATACATTTTTTGAAGAATTTAAAAAATTAAAACCAACCGGATATAATAGCAATATAAATGGTGGATTAAATAAAATTGAGGTAGGATTTAAAAGTTATATTTTAATAAATTAAAGAAAATGACTATATTTTTCTTGATTTTTCATTCTTGACGGATACCTTATATCACAGAAATTTAATCAGGGTTAATTACTTTCAATAATTTTTTATTTTATTTAGTTATTTTTACCAATTTGAGCAGGTCGACTTTTGCGTCGCGTAAAAAATTAATAATTACAGCCGGACATCACTATAGTTAAAGGTATTATCCGGTATCTTCTCCATTTTTCATTCCAACACTGGATATGTGTATGTACTAGAGTTGGCATAAGTTTCTGCATGCTTTCATCAACGCAGGCGAAAATTTTGTAAATTTGTAAAAGTACTTAGTCGGAAAAATGCTTCTGAAATTAATTGAAATTTTTCCAATATTTGAAAATCGGAAAAAAATCGGAATTAGAAATGCCTAACCAACTCTAGTTATTTGTCAAATCTTTGACATTTATGCCCTAAATAACATGATGTTGAAAACCAATGTTTAAAAATGGCAGACGTAAGAAATTAAAAAATTAAATCAAAAGCGGAAGACGCAAAATCACTGCTAAATAATTTTCTTGAAAATTCCTAAATTTTCTAAAAAATACTTTTAGAGAATTTCTCTACAATTTTTTAATTTTCTAATATTCGTAGATGCATATACAAAATGTTTCTGGAAATAATTCAATTTTAATTAACGGTCAAAGCAACAAAATTGAAATTATTGGTTCATAAACGTGAATTGAGAGAATTTTTATTTTTAAAAAGGATGGTGCAAAGCAAATTTTTCCTTGAATTATGAGATAAATTAATTTTAAAATAAATTTCAATTAGATATGTACATTTAAATTTTTAGTTTAATGTAAAATTAAATGTAATCTAAATTAAAAATTAAATAAATAAATAAATACTAGTGTTATTCTCGGTACGGTATTACCACGGCTTTTTTTTATTAAGTAATGTACAATAGTAAAAATCTGTATTTTCGGTAACGGTATTTTACCGAAAAATACCAACCTCGATATCGTGCTCATCAAAGGATTGAGAACGGATATAGTGTTTCTATTTTATCTTTTATCTCTTTTAATCTTAAAATCCGCTAATATACAGCAACCCTTTAGTAACTCAAATACTTTTATCACTTCTCAATCCTCTGATATTAAAGAGATGATATATTATCAAGAGGTTTTTCCTTACAAAATCTCTCAAAATTTTCGCCTAGAATAAATTTTAGCCAGGAAATAAGCACTTTTTAAATAATTTTATTTAGAATTTAATCAAAACATTGTTTTCCTCCGGGTTATCATTCCATATCTTTTACTAAGTGTTTAGAAACAAAAAAATCTTAAGTTTTAAAATTAGTTATAAATATGGCCTTAAATATCGAGGGTAAATATATTTTATATTAGAGGAATGTGAATTTTTAAAAGCCTAAAAAATCTGCGAATATTAAAAATACGGGGAAAAATATTGTGTTGACAGGGAAAAAATAATGACGGGGAAAAATATTGTGTTTATGTAAAAAAATTTGTCAGAATGTGTGTGGTATGCGTCTAGTAAATTTACCGTAAAATTCTGCAATTTATTTGGCATTCAACAATGAAGACTAGAAAACAAAATTTTTGACTAATGTGTGTGTGGCACGATATATATATTTGTTAGTTTTATTTAAATTTTTATAAATTAAATTTTTCTAACCCATTTATTTTTTAAAGTTATTTTCTTTATTATTTTTTTAATCTAATCAACAAACTATTAGTAGCCGTTATATAAAAGGTATTCAATAAAGCGCAAATAAGGACGACGCTGCAAGGACCTACAATTGTATGGGACATGGGGGACTTGGGGATAAAACTATAAAAATAACAAATTCCAATTATAATATTTATTTCCAAAAATAAAAGTAAATGTGAAACAAAAAGGGGGAAGCAACAAAGGCCCAACAACAAAAGGCCCAAAATATTTATATTTTGGAAAAAATGGGCTGAGTTTATATTTATAAATCTTTCTTTATCTCTATAAAATTCTTTTTTTTCATTATAATAAATGCTGACGGGATTCATTAATGATCAAGTGTTTAGCTTGGGTGGCTGTACAGCTAAAGGAATCATGAACCGAAATGAAGAGAAATTATTAATTGCAAATTATTTATACATCTTACATCTGATTACATTATTAATATTATTGATATTTGTCCTTTATTTATAAAAAAAATCAATTTTTCATTAGAATAGCTAAATTGCTGGAAATGGAACTGTTTTGGAACCGGTTCCAGAACTCGAAAATGCTCCAGAACTCGAAAGAAATTCAAAAAGCATTACCAGAACTGGAACCGGTTCCAAAGAAATTTTGGAATTTTACATTTTTATAAAACGACTAAAAACTGATAAAATTCAGTTACGTATATCCTTAAATAATTACCTTTAATATAATTATCTCTCTCAATTATTTAACAACTTAAGCAAAATTTCGAAGGTAAAATTAACCATTATTACAGTTGAATAAGTTTTGATTTTCAAAATAGAGATCTTAAAAATTCATCAAAAATTTCCGTTACATTTAACATTTCATTATTTCGCCCTTATAAATGTGTATAATTTATTTTCAAATATACATATTTGTACTTAAAATTTATTTATTTCGTGACTTTATTATTTTTGACATAATCTTTAAAATATTTTAAATAACCAATTATAAAAATTATGTTAACTTTGTTTCATTTATATATAAAAAATTTAATAAATTTTGTTAAAATGTTTAATTTTTAAATGTTTAAGGTTGTGAGACAATTATTATATTGTGCTTAATGAGAAAATCTTTAAGGTACATACGTAAATTGACTTTTAATAAGAAATTTTTTTTATAAATTTATACTTTTAAAAATTTAATATTGCATAATTTTACTAAAAAATTAAACTCTCTTAAAATGACTCAAAATTTATTTATGTATATAGCAGCTAAACCAGATTCTATTTAGGCAAATTTAAATAAATATAGGAAAATTTAAATTAGTTTTTTGCTATTAGAACGCCAACCAACCGAACAAATGCTCTTATAGTGGGATAATGAAATAGGTATATTATGGACTCCATCTCTATTTTTAATGGCATCCTCGTACCATCTCTATTTTTAACCTCTTACTCGACCGAGTACGAGTGATTGTAATATAATCTTCTATTTATTTGTGCAAATAAATTTTTATTTAGTATTGAACAATATAAATGCTTTCACCTAAAGACATTTTTCTATATTTATCAATCTGCATAAGTTTACCTTCCGTTATTGTCTACATTTGTCAAGTTTGGACAATTATTTGTAACAAAGCTCTTCATAATTCCTTTTACGCATTGTTCTGTATTCGAGCATTTCATGTAACTTAAAATAAATTTCTATTTAATCTCAACATTTTTAAAGGGGTTTGTTTACATAATCGACTCTTATTATGGATATAGAATTCCAAATTTATTTCCATATTGGTTTATAGTCAATCCATATTCAGAATGGACATTGTCAGTAGTTGAGTTCCTATCAAGCTATATATTTCTTGGCGATAATCTGTCATCATTTTTTATAATGTTAAACAGATTTATATCTATTGGATGGGCATTTAACTATCAAACGGTAAGAATGTTCGAGTAAATTGTTTGAGTGAATACGGCAATGTGTTCCGTTACATTCCGTTACATTGCTTTTATAATTTGCATCTGAATCTTTCTAGCAATATAAAACGTTGTGTAATTATTTTATACATAAAAAATTTTGGAAGGCCATCACTTTTTTGAAGAAAACGGAAGTACAGCACTTAAAACATTATTTTCGACCTTTTATGAATGTTTTTAATTTTCATTCTGGATTTATTAGAGCCCAAAATAATAAAAACAATAAATAAGGTGTCGAAAATATATTTTGAAGTACTATAACTCTATTTTCCGTTGATTTTTCAGATTTGAGATCTCGATGAATAACAAAGTTTTAGCTCCGTTCTTTTTCCTTTTATGCGCAATATCAATAGAACTCTTCATAAAAACTTTTTTTAGAATTAATGTCCAAACAAAATTGATAATTTAAATTTTAAATAGTTTGAGTCAAGATTTATTTGCAGCTGAATTCTGAAAAAATTTTATATTCATTGAAAAATCGTTGATTAGTATTATACCTTTTTAATGTTAATTTAAAATTTAGTTATGGCAAAAGATCCATCTGATCGCATGTTTTCTTTGCTTTGCATTACCCCTCTATAGTGTTGGGATTCTCACAATTAGTTTCACTTATTTTATTCAAAGAGATGAAAATAATGAAAATATTGTTTCTATTGATGTTGTTGAATTAGGAAATGTTGGTTTAATTATAAAAATATATAAATCATTTAAATATTTAAAGGAAGGAAGGCTTAATTTCTATTTGCAATTAAGCACAATCGAAGCAATTTTCTTTCTTTTTGCTTTCATTATACTTAATTTACTGATTATTTTTACTTACAAAAAGACGATTAATATTGCTGGAAATAAAAATTTTGAAGATAAAATTGAGCGAAGATTGTGGATTTTCGCTTTGATATCCTCATTTGGTCAAATGCTTATGGCAATTGTAGTTGTAAGTCTAATTTTACTTGTTGCCTTAAGAGGATTTTTCAGATGATTTTTAACTTAACTCTCAATATTATTTAGCTATCCAATTTATTAATCATTGTAATAAGTAATAATGAACGTACTAATCTAGACAATCCATTGCCAGACATATACAAACCTAGAAAATGTTCTGAAAAATATTGTTGCCGTTAATAATTATTTTGCCGTTAATAAAATAAAGAACATAATTTAACGAAAATTATTGTAAAGAAAAAAGTTTTAAAAAAAATAAAAAGATATTATATTAATTAATTTTCTAAATCAGATTATGGCCTATGTTGGAGCCACTTGTGGCCTACTATCATTCATATCATTTATTGACTGTATCTTTACAATCGTTATGGACATTGGACTCGTAGTTTTGCCAAGTTGGCCACTACTTTGGGCAAGTAAATCATTTAGAATTAAATTTCTTGAAACAATACTTCCGAAAATACTTCATGAAAGACTTATTGGATCAAAGGCGCAAACAACTAAAATCATACAAAATGGTCAAACAACAATTAAGGTGTTGCCGGCAAATTCCCCGAGATTGAATTTGGTTCTAAATAATCAAAATAGATTTTAAAAAATATTTTCATATATGTAAATACCTATTTTGTGTTTTATATGAAGTAAAAAGAAGAGATTACGTTAATAAATACTAAACTTTTTGTTACTTTTTTCTTGAATCAAAATTTCGTTTAGTCTCAAAAAAATTTTGATCGCACTCATAAACTGTCATGGGATTCATAAACCATCGTTGGACTCATAAAATTTCAGTGGACTACTAAACATGGCCAGAGTCTCGAATTTTTACTAACCATATTAAGTTTAAAATAAAAAAAACTTAAACGTGGAAAACTCACATTTTTGATAAAATTGAATTAAGATGGGAAGTTAAAATTAAATGACAACACGTCTGATTTTAATTTTTTAATAGAAAAATAATTTTTTATCAAAAAAGAATTGTTAATGCTATATATTTTATTTACATAAAACGTTTAATAATACATGAGGGAGAGAAAAGTTTTTTTACTCACTGAGAAACGAGAAAGAAAATTTTTTCTAAGGTGAAATTTAATGTTTGAATGAGAGTGTTTTAATTATTGATGAAAATTATAGTTTTAAATTAATTAAATTTTAAATTATTTACGAGGTGTTTTTATTTTGAAATAAATTACAAGTAGAAAAATTTAAAAAGAATTGTTTCATTTAAAATCAAATTACATTTCAAATAATTAAATTGGGTAATTAGTGTTTAAATCATCCCTTCTCACAGATAATGATTTTGATATCCGTAACGGGATATTTACGGTGGATACAGGCGGATATCCGCAGGCATCTGTATCCATCAGAGTTGCGTCGTAATTGAAAAATTTTTTCGTAATCGTAATTTAAAAAAATTTTTCGTAATCGTAATTCGTAATCACGACGCAACCCTGGTATCCATATCCATATCCATGAGCAGGTCTGGTTTCAGCCTCTCGCTATAGGGGGTAATTATTTGTCAAATACTTATCTTCAACAATTTAGAGTTAATTATTTAGTAAATATCATTTTTTAATTAATTTAAAATAAATTTCCTTCCATTTAATTTTAGTCTTGTACAGAACAAATAAACGATTAATTTTTGTTTATGAATTTAGAAATATTCATCGTATGATTAAAAATTTTATAAAGTGTTGGAAATAAAGTGTTGGATTTATTCAATATAAAAAATAAAGGAAACGTTGTTAAATGATAAATTAGATAAATATTGAAAATAATGTGTTGATAAATAAATTTGAATGTAAATTTAAAAGAAAATTTTCCTTTTCTTTATTCACAAAAATTTTATTTTTGTTTTTTTGATAGCATGTATGAAGTGTTAAACAAACAATATTCGACAGAAAAATTACGAGAAGGAAGTAAATATAAATTTAAATTATTATAATGTCTGTATATAAAAGATGCTGTAAATTAGTTCAAATTTAAATTATTTTAAATTGAATAAATTATTTGAACAAAATATTGAAGTAAGTTGCTTTTCAATAGCTTAAGCCCGGTTACTATTTGTACCCTTGTAACTTCAGAAATGAAGGTAATTTAAAAAATAAAACTAATTTAAAATAAAAATTTAAATTTTAGTTAATTTTGCTCAGTTTATTAGTAATATATTTACAATTTATTGTTACAAGAATTGAGGCACAAAAATGCGAAAATCCAATTTTAATAAATAATGTGGTTAGAAAATAATTATTTTTTTTATTATAGAAGAAATTTTAGTAGAATTTTTATTATAATTGGGAAACTTTATAATTTTACAGACTTATTGGGTAGAATGTTTTATTAAATTATTATAATAATTTTAAAAATTAGATTTCAAATTCTACATAAATTATAAAATATATAATTAAGAAAGTACCATCAACACTTGATTTGGTTAAACTTGGATTTGGATTAGGCTTTACACCTGGCAAGAGTATTCAATTTGTTGGAAGAATAAAATTAGGTTCAAGTTGTATTAAATTGGCAGAACCAGGAAAGATTTTGGAGTCTGGAGCCGTTGTTTTACATTTTAGTCCACGACCAGGGATTTTCAACAAACATGTAAGAAAATAATCAAAAAAAAGTTAAATGTAAAATAAATCTAAAATGTAAAACAAGTATTATTATATACTTATAGTAAAATTAAATTCAGATTGAACGAAATAGTTGGAGTAAAGCAACGGGATGGACACCTGTAGATTCAAGTGGTGGATGGCCAATTAAATCAAATAATCAATTCGAGATGGAATGGATTGCGGGACCTAACAATGCAATAACTGTAAGAGTTTAACTATGTCATAATTAGAAACAGGATTTTTAGGCACGATAAATTTAAAAATAGGCGCCTATATAGGCACTAAAAAACTGCCAAAATAGGCACTAAAATCCGAAAAAAAGGCAAAATAGGCAAGAGTATTATGCATTAGATATGCACAAAAAGACTAAAATTTATCAAAAAAGTTGAATCTAAGCAATAAAGTATTAAATAAATTAATTTCGATGATCAGACGTTTGGACGTTTCAGCATCAGTCCTATTTGGGAACAAACAGACATTTGCCTGAAAATCCTGTCTATAGTTATAAAAGTTAAATAATCTCTAGATCAACATCGACAAAAACTATTTTACAACTTATAATAAATGGGATACTAGTAAAGTTGCCCAGCTTAATATTGTTGATGCTATTGAAATTAGCTCTATAAAATTGTGTGGAGGAAAACCTGATCCAACACCACCTCCTCCAAAGTGTGAAAATCCAATTGTTATCGATAATGTGGTAAGGGATATGTTAATTAGCTAAACGCTAACGATGATTTAGAAAATCGGCGAAGAGTTTAAGCGATAAAATTTTAAAAATATTCCTGCAAAAATTTAAAATTTGCCGAGTTAGGGCTCTATAAATTACAAAATTTCAACTTAAGAATACGATTTTAAATTCTACATATATACATAAATTAAAATATATAATTAAGAAAGTACCATCAACATTTGATTTGGTTAAACTTGGATTTGGATTAGGCTTTACACCTGGCAAGAGTATTCAATTTGTTGGAAAAATAAAATCAGGATCAAGTTGTATTAAATTGGCAGAACCAGGAAAGATTTTGGAGTCTGGAGCCGTTGTTTTACATTTTAGTCCACGACCAGGGATTTTCAACAAACATGTAAGAAAATAATCAAAAAAAGTTGATACTAATAGTAAAATTAAATTAAGATTGAACGAAATAGTTGGAGTAAAGCAACTGGATGGACACCTGTAGATTCAAGTGGTGGATGGCCAATTAAATCAAATAATCAATTCGAGATGGAATGGATTGCGGGACCTAATAATGCAATAATTGTAAGTGTTTAACTAAGTTAGAAAAATTAAATAATTTCAAGATAAACATCGACAAAAACTATTTTACAACTTATAATAAATGGGATACGAGTAAAGTTGCCCAACTTAATATTGTTGATGCTATTGAAATTAGCTCTATAAAATTGTGTGGAGGAAAACCTGATCCAACACCACCTCCTCCAACATGTCCCAATGAAGTTCTTATAACTAACGTGGTTAGTAATGAATGTATCAAGATATGTTTAAATAAAAACTCAAAAAATTTAGTCAATTGGCAACATTAATCTTCTTAAATATGGATTTGGAGTTGGGTTTACTGTAGGCAAGAGTATTATTATAACTGGAACTTTTCTAAATGGCGGAAGTTGTATTAAACTGGCAAATAAGGGTGTGATTTTGGTAACTGCTGATGTTAAATGCCATCTTGCTACAGACCCTACTAAAAAACTTGTGAGTAATTAAAAAATATTTGAGTGAATATAAAATTATTTTAAGACAATTTGTAATAGTTGGATAAAAGGCAAAGGTTGGACACCTGAAGATAGAACTGGAGGTTATCCTTTTAAGTCTAACCAATTCGTTATGGAATGGATTGCTGAACCTAACAATACAATAAGAGTAAGGGATTTATTATAATTTGTCTTTAGTTGAAAAATTTGATTAGATGAATGTTGACGGCAAATTCTGGAGAACGTTTTCTCGTGAAGATTTGAGTGATGTTGAGCAACTGGACTTTTCGTATGCTATCAAAATAAGCTCTGTTAGATTGTGCCGACAAGATATAGAAACAACTACACCAGAAATACCAACAACACCAACACCTCCTCCAAATTGTCCCAATGAAGTACTTATAACTAACGTGGTTAGCAGAGAATATATTTACTTATTTTTCACAAATAAACACGAAATTTAGTCAATTGGAAACGTTAATCTTCTTAACTATGGATTTGGAATTGGGTTTACTGAAGGCAAGAGTATTATTATGACTGGAAAGTTACTAAATGGTGGAAGTTGTATTAAACTGGGAACTGCTGGTGTGCTTTTGGTAACTGCTGATGCTGTCTTCCATCTTAGTCCAGACAATAATAAAAAACAAGTAAATAAAATAGTTATACATATTTGAGTGAATAATAAATTATTTAAAGGTTATTTGTAATAGTTGGATGAAAGGAAAAGGTTGGACACCTGAAGATAAAACAGGCGTTTATCCCTTTAATCCTAACAACGAATTTGTTATGGAATGGATTGCTGAAGCTGATAATACAATAAGAGTGAGGGGATTTTATTATAATTTGCGTTCAGGCTGTTTGATAAGATAAAAAATCGAAATATGTTAGCGCCCATTTGCCCCTAATACTATAGGTGCAAATGAGGAAAAAAAATTAGAAAATGGATTGGAAATTTATATAGATTAGGGTTAGCGAATCTGGGATATTTGAACAGAAGATACAGGAATATCCGTATTCTGATCCTGAATATTTATTAAATTATCGTGAATAGTTTCGGGGTGTCAGCTCTACTCATTAACAATAAACCCGAATATCATGTTTTTTGTCTAAATATTCGTGGCACATTTCGAGTTACCCTATTAAAACAATTTTGCTAACCCTATTTAAGAAGCTGTATTCGGCTTATTTGACCAACAAAATTAATTTAAAAAAAGTCGAAAAGCTTTGTTCGTCTCTTTAATTTGATTTAAATCTAAGGAATCTCAAACATTTAAGATTATTGTCGATGGCAAACTCTATAAAACTTTTAAACGTGAAGATTTGAGTAAAGTTGTCCAACTTGACTTTTCTTATGCTATCAGAATTAGCTCTATTAGATTGTGCCGACCAGATATAGAAACTACTACAACAGAGATACAAACAACACCAACTCCTCCTCCAACGTGTCCCAATGAAATTTTAATAACTAACGTGGTTAGTAAGGAGTTTATTAAGCTATGTTTAAATAAATTACAAAAAAATTTAGTCAATTGGAAACATTAATCTTCTTAAATATGGATTTGGAATTGGGTTTACTGTAGGCAAGAGTATTATTATTACTGGAACTTTTCTAAATGGCGGAAGTTGTATTAAACTGGCAAATAAGGGTGTGATTTTGGTAACTGCTGATGTTAAATGCCATCTTGCTACAGACCCTACTAAAAAACTTGTGAGTAATTAAAAAATATTTGAGTGAATATAAAATTATTTTAAGACAATTTGTAATAGTTGGATAAAAGGCAAAGGTTGGACACCTGAAGATAGAACTGGAGGTTATCCTTTTAAGTCTAACCAATTCGTTATGGAATGGATTGCTGAACCTAACAATACAATAAGAGTAAGGGATTTATTATAATTTGTCTTTAGTTGAAAAATTTGATTAGATGAATGTTGACGGCAAATTCTGGAGAACGTTTTCTCGTGAAGATTTGAGTGATGTTGAGCAACTGGACTTTTCTTATGCTATCAAAATAAGCTCTGTTAGATTGTGCCGACAAGATATAGAAACAACTACACCTGAGATACCAACAACCCCAACACCTCCTCCAAATTGTCCTAATGAAATTCTAATAACTAACGTGGTTAATAAAGAATATAGTTAATTATTTTAAATAAAAAACACGAAATTTAGTCAATTGGAAACGTTAATCTTCTTAACTATGGATTTGGAATTGGGTTTACTGAAGGCAAGAGTATTATTATGACTGGAAAATTACTAAATGGTGGAAGTTGTATTAAACTGGGAACTGCTGGTGTGCTTTTGGTAACTGCTGATGCTGTCTTCCATCTTAGTCCAGACAATAATAAAAAACAAGTAAATAAAATAGTTATACATATTTGAGTGAATAATAAATTATTTAAAGGTTATTTGTAATAGTTGGATGAAAGGAAAAGGTTGGACACCTGAAGATAAAACAGGCGTTTATCCTTTTAATGCTAACAACGAATTTGTTATGGAATGGATTGCTGAAGCTGACAATACAATAAGAGTGAGGGATTTATTATATCGGGGTGTCAGCGTCACTTCTTCAAAAATAACACGAAAATCGTGTTTTTCGTCAAAATATTCGAAACTGATTTCTAGTCAGGCCTGATGTTGCAGAGCATTTTAACGGGTTTCATTTTACCGAGCGGCTATACGATTTTCGGAATAAATAACGTTGGACAGACTGATCTTTCGATTCAAGTCGTTCATTTTACCAACTTTATTTAAGAAGCTATGAAATTCGAAACAGCTTCGTTCGTCTCTTTAATTAAATTTAAATCTAAGGAATCTCAAACATTTTAGATAATTGTCGATGGCAAACTCTATAAAACATTTAAACGTGAAGATTTGAGTAAAGTTGTCCAACTTGACTTTTCTTATGCTATCAGTATTAAAACTATTAGATTGTGCAGAGCTGATGAAATCACCACAACAACAGCAATAACTCCAACTACACCTCCTCCCAATGTTCCTTGTCCATATTTTTCACTTAAATTGGATTTGGTTAGCTGATTATTTTTTTTTAATTTATAATGTTTTATCTTGGAGCTGTTTATCCAAAATAAAATTAATCACATAATTATCCCTAATTAAAATAAATGAAAATTTAAATTTTCTGATAAAAATTTTATTTTTTCAACAATTAACATAATAAATATTAAATATGCACATTATACATACATATATTATTTAAATATATTTTAATAAAAAATTTTAATTAAAGGCAATTCCAATAGCAATCAATTTAGAAAACGGATTTAAACCAGGAAAACACATTACAATTATTGGAACACCAACTGATTCTTTTACCGACTTTGTTGTTGGCCTTGGAGAGCCTGGCATTATGAGAGAGACTGCTAACGTTCTTTTCAGTTTCAGCCCCCAATTAAATTCTAAATCAGTAAAGAATAGCTTTAAAATAAAAAAAACTTTTAAATAAAAAAATTATTAAAGGTTACAGTCAACACTTTATTATTAGGGGTTGGATGGGAAACAGAACTGACTTATGGACATTCACCTTTTAAAGTTGGAGAGCCATTTGTTTTAGAAATCAAGGCAGGGCTCAACAACCAGATAGATGTAATATTCAAATTATTTTTGTTAAAGTTTTTGAATTTTAATTTAAGGTTTTTGTGAATTTCGTGGCATATCTAAGATTTACACGTCATGATTTAAGCAAAGTGAGCCAGATACAAATTATTAGAGCAGTCAAAGTGTGCTCTATTGTTACTTGCAATTGAAGAATGTTTAAAGAGAAAAAATTAATTGAAAAATTTTATAAAACATAAATGAAATTGTAATATTTAAAGTTGAGATAAAACGGATAATCATTTTAGCTTTTATTTTTATAAATTAATTAAGAGTAAAAGTGAAAAGTAAATTGCTAAACTTTTTACGGAGAATTGCGGTGAATTTTGATTTATAGATTTTATTAAGGTACGGCAACTTTTCCGCCACTTTTGTTTTGAGCATATCTTGTTTTAAACTCAAGATAAATTGATAATTCTTATTTAATTTTATTCACAACTATAAGAAAATTTTTGGTAAAAAATCACCTTTAAATTTTACATTTTAGTTTGATTAAGCTTCTCTCAATGTTTGAGCAAAATTTTTTGATAAAAATTGACCTAGATTCAAGGCTATGATTCCGATATTGGAGGTTTATATATCCATTGGTATCAAATCTATGATATTGTCTGAAACAAGCTGTCGAATGTACGTTGAAATTACTGTTGTTAATATGCTGTTTTAGAATAAGTCATTTGTAGTCTATTGAATCAAGAATTAACGATTATCGGTCTAAATACAATAGATACTATCTCTTAGTATATTAAACTATAAAAACTTATAATCAAATTCTAAAATTTATTTAACAAAAATAAATAATTTATTTTATTGATGAACGAAGAAGAAGACTGAATGCATTATAATCATTTGGGTCGTTATTTTTGTTTTCTACTTTTCCCTCCAAGCGCTTGGCTTCTTAATATAAAAAACATTAAACTATTCTTAAATAATAAAGGAAGGAATCTTTGTCGTGACAAAGAAAAGATGAGGCAGCATTGTATGTATGGCCATTCTTTTTTTGGAAATCGGAAGAGAATGGCCACGTCATTCACATTAATATCGCGGCCGTTGAACCGCACAATATCGATCTCGGTTCGATATCTAAGGTTTCCTAAAATATCGCTATCGTCTAACTCTAGTTTTAAAAAACAATGCAAACTCTGAGCATAAACTCGAGATCTAATTCAAAAATATCGGACAATCATTCGATCTTCTTTATCAGAGCATATTTTATATTTTTATTTTTTACACATTTAATGTGCTTAAACTAGTAAATTTTATACATTTCTGCTAAAAAATAATTTATTTCCATTTGTTTATTTAAATTTCTTGCTTCATTAGATAAATTTAAAAAAATTTTACAACAAGGCATTTTGACACAAAATAAATTGAATACAATCTAGCTCAACAAATTTTAATTAAAAATCTTCTTTAAATTATTCGAGCATAATTTTATAACAAAAAGTGCATCAAAGTTTAGTACACTTGTTACAGTATTTCATATCAATTATACACCTGAACTATAAAATTGTTGTTTAAAAAAGCGGAATAATTATAAAATAATGTTATTTTAATTATAAATATGTTAGAGTTTTGTAGCTTAAATGAATAATTAAGGCAGACATTTTTATTTGAAAGTTAAACAAAATGTGACAGCTATATTTTTTGCCTCTATTTTTCTAATTATATTTTTTTGACATTTTGCTAAATATTTAACAAATATTTGGATTCAAATCATTTTTATTTGTCCAATAGTGTATATAAGTTCAGAGTCATTTTTATACGTCCAGTCTATTGCCATAAGTATTCTGTATGATTAAAAGCTTATATCATATGCGAATTGCGATGATTATGGTTATAACCATCCTCTATTCCTATAGCTCTGTATTCCCTTTTTACTAAAGTGCGCATGTTTAAAATATAGTTGTAGTCATACCATAGATTTGATCGATTCAGTGATTGGAAAGTGTAACAGCGGGGGCATTGTACTCAATTCTAAATTTTCTTTCATTTTTTCAGTTTTCGAAACTTTTGTCTATACAAAAATGCTTACTCCCAACGATCCGGTAAATAAATTTTATATCATTAGAGTTTAACAAAATTTAGGTCTTCAATTATTACAATTCTACCGGAACTCTTTATATTTTAACAGCAAAATATAGCAGCATATTTCTTTTAAGTATTGTTGCATTTTTATTCAATTCTTTTATGGCGTATACTACTTGGAAAAATAAGTATAATAAATAAATAATAATATACTTAATAATCGTTTAACGTGTTTTGGATCTGTTCCAAACAAACAACCATAATTATGACATTCTAGCATAAAATAAAGGACTATTTTTTAGATGTTTTCATCATCGTTGTAATATCTACATTGGACTGAGTTCATTCTTTAACTTACCAATCCACTTTGGAATGAGTTACAAATTTTTTATCCTCCTCTTTGGAATTAATTTTATTAGTCTTCGTACATGTTATTTTATCCAAGTCTTTCCTATGACTTCTGTAGCTTTGGCTATTCAAATTCAATTTTATACTGGCGTTGACAGATTGCTTAGTGTTGCTTTTCCTGTCTGGTAATTTTTACATAAAGTGTTCTGATCACCCTATTCTCCTAAAAGTTGTTCTGGTTACTTATGTAACATTTGCAGTATACTTTACATATGTCGTATTTTTTATAAATATCTTATACTTGCTGATAATTATAGGTATAAAGTCAACGATCATTACAAGTCTGTGATTGTTATCATTATTCTAATAATGATATACTCAGTCCGTACTTTTTGGAATCAGTTAATCAGTGCGATCAGCTTTCCTGATAGGTATTTTAATTTATTACTTCATATGATCTTTAAAAAAGTGCGTTATTTTTCCTTTCAAAATTTAAAATTTGAAAATATAAATTTATCATAAGGCCAACAATGTGCGATACTTTATCCATGGTTCAACCTGAAATTAAAGAAGAGACACTTATAACTGCAAATGTTTACAATTTATTAACAATTGTTTGTTATATAACTATTTGGATATTAATGGCGATTAGAAAGGAACAAAGTTCTATCAATAAACGTTTAATAAAATCATTGACAGCAATTATTTTGATTAATTTATTTGGATATTTTAATGTTAGTTTATAAATTTTTAAACTATTACGTATGTTGTTCTAGAATAAAATCAGTAATTAGCGATCAGCCCTTGCAAAGTTGCCGTCTCTCATTTGGGCTGGCCTTTGCTTTTAGGCTTGCCATATATTCCTGTTTATTTTACCGTCGTTATTCTTATATTTACTCTGGTTATAAACATTTTTTCTAACATTTTGCTAGTCCAAAGGCATACCACTTTTAGTACATAACAGTTTCGATAATTCATTATCTCTCAATACTTATAATAAAATTAATTATTTCTAGTCGCTGTTGTGGATAATGTTATTGCCATTGTTATCTTTCAGTGCTGCAGATATTGATAGTTATGTGATTGTTCCGGCTCTCCTTTTGTACGTTGTTTCCGCTGGCAGTAATTTGCCTGTTTTGTATGCTTTTAGGTTTGAAACATTTGTTTTAAAGAAAGTTTATACAAATTTTTTGATCAATTATCATTAATAACACGATATTATAATATAAATCTTTAGGATAATAAGGATAATCTAATTTAGCATATATTCTAGTGGACAACAAAAATTATTAATATGTTTAGACAAGGATAAGATAACATAAAAGATGAAACACGAATAAAACACAAATTTTTTCCAATTTCAACGGGGAATATAAAGATTAAGTCCAAGTAATTAATTTTATTTAGTACG